AGGAAAGAAAACATTACTTGATGATGGCCGGTGGGTTGGCCCGCACTCTGCAATTCATGGAGATTTTGCTCTCTGGTGAATCCTCTGCGTACACGGTGTCTAGAGGCTCCTCCTCAAATATAGGGCCAAAGCCTGTGGCCTCCTCTGATGGACATGACACGAGCAGGCATTATACTCAATCTACAAAAACCTAACCTAAACATAACTAACAACAATGTGGTAAAAACATCAAGACTTCATGCTATGTTTTTTCTAATGTTTGGCGGACTTGTAAGTGAAAGTTAAAGACTTACTGTCGAAAATTCTGGGTTCAAATATCCTGGGTTTAATTGCAGCTGGAGTGGGAAGAAAACAAATCAAACTGATTTTAATTCCACTTCATTTACTTGGACAGCAAGGGAGACTATCCATAGATGTAATTTTTACATAATTAATTTTGTACAAATTCAGGTGAATCACACAAACATACACACATAATTTATCATTTGGTATGTTTATTAATAAAAAAAACCTTGTTGATTTTACATAAAGATCATTCTCATGACTACGGACTAATCCTAACCGAAACTCTATAAGAAAACTTATTTTCTTTTAGATTTTCAGAGATAAGAATACACTTTATATCTTGTTTAATGTCATTTTCTACGTTTGAAGACATTCCTATAAATACATTTGGATCAATTATTGGGATAATTCTGTTGCTAAAAGTTTGCCAAGTAAACACGCACAAACAAAGTTCCTCACCGGCCATTAAGAAGAAGTAAGAGAGAACACACACAAACATGGCTGGGGTCACCATCTTGTCGATCTGACAGTTAAAAACCAGGCCTGATGAAGAGAAAGAGAAAAAGAGAGAGTGTGTGAGGAGGGTGAAGTGCTCTGTCTTGCTCTGATGTAGGCTATAGCAGATTGTGTCCAAAATGGAAATATACCCAATTTATCACAGCCTACCAACATAACAGTGAATCAGCAAACTGCCTCATCTATTTCACACATATGAACACATGAAGCAAAGGTAAGTCTGAGTCTTAGTATACAGACATGTTGTAATGCAGTTCTAAGAATGATAATGCAATCTCCTTGATAACACATGCAAGCATCCCTTTATCTGATGTTGCTGCACTTTTACACATTAGCCCTAGCAGAAGGTTAGAAAGGACATTTTTTGTCTGCCTTGTAAGACGTGTCCATATGCATCTCAAGAGCCAGAAACTCTCACACACATGCAATTTCATCCTTGAGCATGTTCTTCTCTGTCTGCATGTTTGGCCATCCAGCTCTCAAAATACTCGTAAAAGACTGTCCTTGTAGCAAGTTATGCACATGTTGTCTACTTCTATCCATGGTATTTTCACCAATCTCTTCTAATCTCATTGCATCCTCTGATCTGCTGTCTGCTCTTGTCCTGCACACTGGGATTTAGGTCAATGCACGCCTGTAAGCTCATTCTAAGGGAGTGGCAGTAAAAAAACTAGCAGCTGCCTGATTCCAAAATATCTTTAAACACAATTAAATACTTTACATTTTAATTTAACAGAGCAATACAAATCATGCATGATGTCACTGCCCCTTCCCTCACTATTTTCAGCAAAACTATTATGCAGTGAATTATGGATGAATGATAATGCCAACGTATTATTACATGTATATTCAAGCCCTAATAAATCTAATTCTGCGTCATGGATGATAACTGATGAGATATAATAAGCGCCGCCCTCCGACATAACACTGTCATTACAATCTATCTTTATTGTTACCAGGAAACCGAGGACTAACTTCTGTCCCGTTTAAACTTTACACAAGTAAATAATATGTAATTAACTCGCATCACAGCTTGTTTCAGCAGAACAATTAGAAAATGTATCAGTATTTTAAAAATACATTATTTTACAATAATGTGTATGAACCCGCACAATTTATTTATGAATTTAGTTTGTTTTCATTGGTAATTTAATTTTAATATTCTATTCTTATTTTATTATGTATTCTGTTTATTTATTTTATGTATTTTTAATGTTAAACGGATGACATCAACCGGACTCATCCACCCTGTTCTTCTGCATTGCGGTATTCCCAAACTGCGCGGAACACCTCCATCCAGACTTTAGCATGCAGAATAAACTCCTGAAGGTCACAGACAGATCATATTTTCACCAGAATTCCCTATACATATCATTATATCAGCAGCAAACTTACCGGAAGAATGTGTTAAATCCTTCGTCAAACCCACAGAGATGGATCAGAACCACCGCATCGTCCCGCAGCCCAGCGGGGAGACAGACAGACACATGGCCCGCGCGCGCCAGCCTGCTATTGGATGAGAGCGGAAACTGCGCATGCGCATGCCAGGACTGATGCTCTCGGAGTCCATGTGGTGCTGCAGTTAGTCTCAAACTGATGGTCAAGGTGATTTTAAGGCATTTGCAAATGATTCAGAATGTATGGACTAAGATATTTGGTGATTTAAGGTAATGAGAGGCTTATCCACACACATCTGTTCAAATCCACTGGATTAAATTCTTACACACAGGGGGAGGGAGAGAAATAGATTTTTGTAGTTTATAACAAACGCAGGGAGGAACGTTATGCCACTATACACACACACACACACACACACACACACACACACACACACACACACAGTATAAATTCAAATCCAAGAGAATCAATCCAATCGGATAAAGAGGCCAAAAGGCTTGAGGCTATTTTACTCTCCAGGGCAGACACATAAAACCTGAATGTGTACTGTAACATTTAGGGGACAGTGGGGTAAGTTGAGCTACTGTTTGCTTAAGTTGTCCTACTTACTAATGTACCTAATTATATATTGCAGCATTTTCTACTATATTGTTAGGCCATAGAAACATGAATGTTTTTCTCAGTCAGGTAATTGCGTTAGGTGGTAAGTTGGGTCATTAGAGGTTAATTTTCATTTTAAATAAAAATATGAACACAAATTAGCTTATACAAAAATGCATTATCCACATTTTGATGCACAATATTAAAACGGTAAAAAAACAAATATATATATATATATATATATATATATATATGAATAACATCTAATGAATAAATTAATAATAAAACACCCATGAGAAAGTTTAATATTATTTAAATTAAAAAATGTAAAAAATAATTGTTAAAAAAGTAAAGAATGTTTACAAACAAAATACAAAAAGAGAAAAGGCTTTAGCTTTGACTTTAAAAATCACTTCGCATGCAAAAAAACTTTTAGCGATTTTTTTTCTTTCTTATTTGTGAAGTCACTGTGAATAAATGTTCTTTGATTAAGATAATTATTGTGTACAAGGAATAAAATCATAAACAGACAGATGGTAGTGAAATCCGGAAACCAACATTTATTTTAATTCTTTTATATACAAAATATTTTTTTTGTTTTGCGATTATATTATAGAGTAAACCATATCACAGCCTTTCATGCTTTAATTTCATGTAGCTTTAACATTAACCAGAATATTATTTCACACTCTACGTTTCATCCGTCTTTGCCCCCTCCGACATAAACACATCAAAAGATTCTGCACCCACAGCAGTGCAATCCGGCCTCCTTCTTTGGGGATGCGTCCATTTCTTCTCTAATTTTTCCTACAGAAAAATGTCATAAGCTAGCTGGCCAAATAGAAAAGAAAACAACAGTGCCATTAAAAGAATAAGAGCTGATGCGTGTGTGTGAATTCAGGTGGAACACTGTGCGGTTTACTCCAGTGCTACCTTACAGTACATACACTCAATCATCGGTTGATCCCTGTTTTTCTGACTCATGGGGTTCAGGAAATGGGGGTGTCGTCACTTTTCAACTGGGTTCCTTTCTTCACCCAAAGTGGCTTACAGTACATACATTGCTGGGACAGTCCCTTTAGAGCATCCTGGGATTTTGCGTGATGGGCGTGATAGGATTTCTCAGCAGCTTTCCCCTGCATCCTTTTATGTGTCTAAAATCATTTTTGCTGGATATTTACAAAGCAAATGTCATATCTATACATTAAAAAGCAGACAATTCCAAACTAAAAAACTTGATGCAAGTTATGACAAGCTAAATCATGAAAATCTAGGGCCTTGCCAAAAAACAGAGGCTCGCCCCATATATACAGTGCACAGACATCCTCAAACACACATTCACAACCATCACACACACTCAAACGCACACATGTACATATGCATGCCTGCATAAACCGCACATACTCCAGCCATATTTGACGGCAGCACCACTGCTGACCGTGTGTTCAGTGAAGCCCTGATTTCACTACACTCGACAGCTTGTAATACTTCATAACATGCTATAACATGGTTTAAAAAACAGTTACATGTGAGAATGTGTATATTTCTGCCTACTGGTGTCGCATATGTTGAGATTTTTCCAAGGACAGGCTGCTGTAAATACCACAGTCGGATGTTTCCATCGCCTTTATGAGTTGCCGTCAATGTGTCAGATCTGACCAATCAACAGCAGTTCACTCATTACAGAAAAGTGGCAGTATTTTTAGCTGTCAATAAGGGGAATGAGATGCCCCTCACCCCAATTTGAGGTGATTTCTGTGGCAGCTGAGTATGTGACATAATTTCCTGTGGTCTTCAGTCAGCCCTGGACTTCGGTATCCCTTGCAGTACTGATATAAAAGGACTCAAAGCGATAAGAGGGACTCGTTTTTTGATTACAGAACAATGTTTTCTACCAAGGCACTAAGGAACCGTGCTGAGGGGCCTTCGTTGCATCCCATACTGTAAAACCACACCAAGGGCGGTGTGAATTACGGGTGGCTACATGGCTGACTGGGGGGCTTTCCTTCACAAAAACCGTCCTGGGTGAAGTGAACCGTAACTCCTTAAGTCGGTCACTGACTTTTCTTCAGGGATAAAACACCGAAAGAGGTTCGCTGTGAATAAATAAGGGTGCAAAATGAACCACAAAAGAACTGAAAAAGGACAAAACCACGTCTGCGTGCTTGTGTGTCAAAAACATGCTACCTCATCCCTGATAACCAGTTTTTAAATTCTGTGATTTTTTCGTTTATTCGAAACATCTGTCTGCCAAAAAGACGCCTAAGAACAGCTTTTACACGTATTACATACTTCACAACAATGCCCACAAAGACATTGGTGCCTGAAATGTGCATTATACCGATTTTAACACTGACGACAGAACGTAACAGGCATTAGCTGTGAAGCAAAAGTGGTATCAATACAGTCAGACGAGGTTCACTGTCTCCACAAAGCTGGCTAAAGGTGCGGTCACATTAGCGAAATTTTGGCGAAATTTCACATGCAAAAAGGTCCATTGAATATTGTTAGTGGCATGTGGCGAAATCCTCCTCCCTTGCGCAAAATTCCCAAATTCCTAGTGAAATGACTGGTTTTCACCTGTGAAAATTCAGTGAACAACAGTAAATGTGACCACACCTTAATGCTAATGATGTCAATAGCTGATTCCATGCGTGTCCAGGGTACAAGATGGTGTGATATAATGCCATCTGACAGTAAATAGGGCCTTGTTAATAAAATAGTTTCTTATATATATGTCAATTTATATATTCCTATACACATATATTAATATATATATGTATGCTTGCCATAAGATAATATGCTTATTACGTCTTAAAGTCATGTGATGTTCACTCTGACCAATCGCTGTGAAGCTAGGACTGGCCCTCTGCTTGCATTTAGCATAATTTCTCACTGTCTTACATTAGGGGAGTTTTATTTCTTTTTCTGTGTGATGTCAGGGGGTCACAGTGCAATAGAGAATGTTCTCCATAAGATGGTGTGACAAGGGGGAGGGGCTTTGCATGGGTCAAAGGTCACGAGGCATATCCAGGTAGTCACACAAAGGAGTTCATGGCATTGACCGGGGAAGGAGCCTCCGAACTCTCGTTGCCCTCCGCCGTGTCTTTTTCCTTCTTCCCGCTGTACTGTCCGATGAATGAGCCGTCCTCGTTGAACTGACCGTCTCCTCCCTCGCCGTAATCTACCAGGCTGTCGTCACTGTCGTCCTTCTTGACCGTGCCATTGGATGGGGTCCGGCTGCCCTTCAGGGGCTTGTGATCCTCCGTATCACTGATGTAAAGAGTAGAGACAAGGGGGAGGGGAGGATATTATAAACAGCACAATTTAAAACTAGATATTGGAGATTGTCCATTTCCAACATGCTGTTTAGTGCAGGTATTTTCACGACAGTCCATAAATGCGTCTCTCCTACATCCGGGAGGTAGTAGATGGTAATAACTGGTCATAACGTGCATTTGAAAGGGTAAGTTAGGGCACATTCATCATAATGCATAAACCACTTCTCTCAAAACAGAGAAAAAAAAAAAAAATGACCATTGAGGATTTCTAAACAAATGCAGTAAAATAATAATAGAAATAAAGTAAACAATCAAAAAGGCAATCAAAAAATACAAATAACTATGCACTTTTTTTTTTCAGACTTAACATTTTTGTAAAGGTTCAATTTGGCTTGTCCATGAGATTTACAGCTATTCGTTTAATGATCTACTGTAACTAAGAGATGAATAATGGGGGAATTTATGCATGCGAGATTTGCAAAGCCCCTCTTACCTTTCTAAAGACCTGAACTCCCCCCAATATCAAAACACACAAGAGGAACAAATGAGACAGACTGACATGTTTGACAATGAGGTTATTACTTTGCAATAAAGACAAACGTATGCAGTGACATTATACACAACAAATGATGGACTTCATGAAAAGGACATGGAATGTTAATACAAAGACAAAAAACAAACATGACTGATGACTTCAATTGCAATTCTGATTTGGCATATTCAGAAGCTGAAATTGAATTTTAATGATTTAAGGGTCAATTATATATCATTTAATTATTTAATATTTATTCATTAACATTTAATATATAATATTTATTTCAAATATTTGAATTCATGTCCTGAATTAGCTACTGTAAGCTGAGACCAATTCATCAGTCAGTTCCAATCATATCTACTGCATTGCAAAAGCAATACGACAATATGACCAGACATATTACTAAGAAATCCACACAAGTACAATATAATAAATAAAAAAGAATAATAAATATCATCAATGACAATACATATTAATGATGACATAAAACAAAATCACAGCAATAAATCCAGCATTAATGTAAATCAGGAAGGCAATTGATTTGACATTTAAAATGAGCTAAATAAATAAAAATGTAAAATGAAGAATTTAAATAAAAATGTGTAAAATAATTACAGTCATATAGTACACAGCTTTGGTTAAGGATTGTTATAACGTATAAAAAGGGTTGCTCCTGCTTTCCTCAAGCTGTTTGTGGAGGGGCCACAGATGTTTACATTCATCTCAGAGGAATGAAAAAATTACAGTCTGAATCCCTGAGCAAGAGAAGTAAGTTTGCTTTCAATGAGTCGTGAAACCACAACAAAATCACCAGTGCAATTTAAACATTTAGTTCTTATGATTTCTGTCTGATATAAATAACTGTAGTAGTTCTCCTCACCTATACTCCCCAAATGTCCCATCATCCTCTTTCATGGGCTGGATCTCTGGGTCTTGATGTGCATCTTCTTTTTCTTTCACTATGTGATTGGAAAATCAACAAGTTGCATGGCATTAAAGTTTGGATTTTCGTTCAAAATACTTCACGTTGTCAAAGCCACACATTTGCTTATTTGTCACTAGAATCTTGTCGCGTATTAGTGGTCTTAGAGGTTTTAGATTCAGCATTTGTACCACATGGATGCGCTTAAATATCTCACATCAATTTTGTACATTCACTTACCCGGATATTTGCCTCCTTTGTTCCTCTTTATGAAGCAAACGATGAGGAGCACCAGGATCAGTAAAGCAATGGCACACATCAGCCCGATAAACCAGCCCTGCGTGGCAATGTCAACCTGCTTGCTGGTCATGGCTGCATATGCACACACAAAAGAGACAGGAAGCAGATACAAAATGAACCAATTCTCAGTTTTCTTTCATTTGAAATGGTATGGTTAATTTATCTCTGAAATGTCATCCCTCCCCCCCCCAAAAAAATAGTGTTATCAACAGTAAAACAGAAATGAACATGGGTTGAACATCTAAATCACAGCAACAAAATCAGAAGTCTCATTTGTATGACGCTAACAAGAAATGACCACCATGGATTTGAGGAAGTGCATTGTGCATTTAAAATCCTCTGAAGACCTCTGTAGGATGTAAAAAAAAAAGGAAGGAAAGAAAGAAAGAAAGAAGGAAGGAAGAAAAGATGGACAATTCTGGCATGCATCTACATTTCCATAATCCTGCCTGGACTTAAATTAGCATGTGTAATTTGTTAATATTCAAACCAAAACTACAGGTGATGTCTGGAACTGAGACTGGGCGGGGCTTCACGGGTGAGTGACAGGTGAGGTGGATTCTGGCGGTCTACAGACATGCTCTCCTCACCTGGAACTGTAATCACCAGAGCCTCTGTACTGTGGACCGTTGCGTCTGAGTGGTCTTTGGCTACCAAGCGAACACTATAAGACATCCCCGCCTTTAGTCCTCTAATCTGATATGTCCGAGTGCCATTTACAAACTCTGTTTTCCAGGGTTCATTACCTGGAGAGAAGGACCGACGGCAGGGGAGACATTATTGCAAAACCAATTACTCCAAAAAAAGTGTATTTAATTAATTGAATGTTACAGTAGAATTTGTTCTTTAAAGGAATTGTTTAAAATCATGTTCTGTCATCATTTACTCACCCAAGTTGTTCCAAACCTATATGAATTTCTTTCTTCTGCTGAACACAAAAGAAGATATTTTGAAGAATATCGGTAACCAAACAGTTGATGGACCTCATTGACTTCCATAGTATAGAAAGAATTACTATGGAAGTCAACAGGGCCCATCAACTGCTTAGTTTCCGGCATTCTCCAAAATATCTTCTTTTGTGTTCAGCAGAAGACAGAAATTCAGACAGGTTTGGAACAACTTGAGGGTGAGTAAATAATGACAGAATTTTAATTTTTGGGTCAACTACTCTAAGTCACTTGTAATTTTAATCAGAAAAAGAAAATATGTTTCTTTATTTCTTTATTTTTATGTATTTATGTTGTTTTAAAGCATGATAAAATGTTGAGTTAATAAAAGTACAGGAATCTATCAAAACAATGTTTATTCTGATATTAGACAATAAATAGTAGAAAATAACTCGATCTATGAGCTTTGACTATGAATTATACTAAGGCTATATAGAAACGCACTGCAGTAGTGAAATTTTAAGGAGGAAAGTCTTACTGTTAGCAACAACATATTCCACATAAACATTTCTATCCGGCAAAGAGTTTTCCCAGCTTATTACAGCATGGCCCTCCTCCACCGAGGAGTTCACGCTCCCAAACATCCGAGCAGCAGGTGGCACTGATCAAACAAGGAAAAGTACAATTGATGTAAGAATTTAGAGATTATGAAGAAGTTGCCACAAAATTCCTATATATTTCGTTGTCTTGCGGCCCCAAAAAAGTGTGTGGACTTAATATAGAAGGTAGTTCTGATCTAATCTTTAGCATAATTTGCTTATATGCCACTAGTTTTGATATTTGATATCTAATACAATACAATTCACATTTTAAGTGTTCTTTTTGGGGCTACTAGACATAATTTCTTTCAATTACTCATTACTCGCACAATCGTTCAAAAGTTTGGGGTTGGTGAGATTTTTTATTTTTTATATAAGTAATGTTGTGAAATATGATTACAATTTAAAATAACTTTTCCATTTTAATGTTTTAATAAATGCCACTTTTGATTAATATAATATGTCCTTGATAGACTAAATAAATAAATAAACTGCAGACCCCAAACTTTTGAATCTACACTAGTCAAAGGGATAACTGTCATCACTTTCCTTTTTATTATAGATCATGAGTGAAACTGTATCCGACACCTTGTGAGGTATCAAACAGTATATTGTCAACAGTTTCCTGTTCAACACAGTATCATACAAGCATAACAATCGAGGAACGGGAGAAGGTGACGGGACAGGAGTGTTTGTACCCTTGTGAAACGGGGGCTGCAAAGATTGAGTGACAGAGGGGGTTGGTGGTGGAGAAGGGGGGGCTGATCCTGGAAGAATACAGAGAATAGTGAAACACACAACATGAAACAAAACATTAGAGAGAGAGAGAGAAAACAAGGCAGCGAAAGAGAAATGCAGATCTGAGTTAACAGCATGCAGGAGCGTGCAGTTTACTGGTGCAATGAGAGCTGCAGAGAGGACCCTGAGATCAAGGCAGCCAGATTTGGGTTTGTCTCCTCATCATACATTCAAACATTACTCTATACTGAAAAACATCTAAAGTCCTTGTCTAAACTAGTTAAAGGGATAGTTCAGCCAAAATGAGACTTATGGCATTTTTTCCTCAGCCTTTGATTTTAAAACGATTTTCTATTATGGAAATTGTGAAAAGTGATACGATACTGTAGATTTACTGTGACGAAAGGACCCAAAATTACATCAGTATTCACTGACAATCATCCCATACAGTGAGTTGTTAACAACCGAGTCAATAAGATGATTCAGTTCAATTTATGAATCATTTCAATTCATGAACTAATCATTTAGTCCAATTTGTGAACTTCATCATCATCATTGAAAAGGAGTGACTCAGAAGAACGATTGATTCACTGATCCGGTTCTCGAGTTCACCGGACTCACTGACTGATTCAGTCACAACAGTTCACTGGGCGGAAAGATGAATGAGTGAATAACAATTTAAATGTTTTTTGTTTGTTTTTTGGAGCTTAACAGACTTCCACAATTCTGTACAACTGTTGTCATATGGAAAAGAGCTTCATGAAGATTCATCAAAAATTATCCTTTTGTGTTCCACAGGAAGAAAAACAGGTGTTCAAGTATTAAAACTACAGCATTTATTTTTGAGTGAACTATTCCTTTAACAACAGATGTTCTAGCTAAGCCCTAATGAAAGCAGTGGGATGGAATTTGCATTTCTTGGTAACATGACTCTCCATGACATATGGAGCAGGCCAGGTCAGGTGTAAAGCTTTTTGGCCTGAGGAGGATCATGCATATGTATCTATCTCCTTTCAGTGCTACAGTGGCTTTCTAAGTCTCATAGCTGATGCTTGACCAGCATGCATTCTCATCAGCCTGATACTGGTGTTACCTTTACCCGCCTTTACTGCGGGATGCCGAATTAACGCTTCAAAGAAAAGAGAGAGACAGAGACAAAAGAAGACAAAAGTAGAGTGGATGTAAGTAGTGGCCACCTGACGACCAATCATTTAAAAATAGAATGTTTCCAAAAGTGTAAATCACAAAATATGATGCTGTTGAAGGGTACATTTTTATTCAATTCAAACGAACCCAAAAACAAAGAGGTTTTAATCATGGAACCCAACAGGCAAGATTTTTTGTTCACAGAACAAAATAGAGCAAAAATTGGAGAATTTTATATATATATATATATATATATGTGTGTGTGTGTGTATTAAAAATGTGTTTAATTAATGTTTAAACAGTTTAATAAATTAAACTTAATCTGCATTTTGTCTTCTTTTCCAGTGGTAATCTAAATATTTTTCAAACAAAACAGATATTGGCATAAGATATTGGAAGTAAGAATTAAGTTTGTTTTTCTTATCAAAGTAGCTAAAAAATGAATACAAATATTATATATTTAGCAAAGCTGTATGCTTAAAATAAGGCAAAACATGAAAGAACATGATCACAGACTAAAGTGAATAGCATTTAAAAAGTGGCTAATATTGCCTTGCAAGCAAACAAACAAACAAATAAATAAATAAGGCTAGGTGTTATGTTTGTGTATTAAATCTATTAATATACAACCCTAAAAGCACTGAAAGTGTTAACACTGTAGTCATGGAACATGGAATGACAACAAGATCACTCAGATTCAGGAATCTCAGGACTGGATTCCTCAGTTGAAACAAACCTTTGTATACGTTTTATTCTGCTTGCAATTTATACGAAGCCACTGATGAGAATAAAATACTGCCTCAGGATCCTTGCATCAAATGCTAAAAATATTATATTGTAAAATCAGTCACAAAGCTAGTCCTCACCTTCGTCCATGATCGTGACAGCCTCTTCTGTGACAGTGGGGCCAGAGCCCTTGACAGTCATGGCATTCAGATAGAACTTGTAGCGCGTGCTGTACTTGAGGTTGTCCAGAGTGATGCTGGTCTCGTTTGCTAGTAGAAGCAACTCGTTGAGAGGCCCAAGTTCATCAGTCGTATTGACTACAAGCAGAGAGTTAAAACAGAAAGGGTGAAAAATATAAGCAATCTGTATCTTTTCATAAATCAGCAACAGATTCCCATCCAACATGCTGTGATTTTAGACCTACTAGACTGGTATTTGAGCAAGTATCCAGTCAGGTGGCCGTTATCTTCCAGAGGTGGTGCCCATTCCACAATCAGTGAGTCCAGGTTCAGATTTTGGACTTTTAAATGTTTAGGAGGCCCGGGAACTAAAAAAAAAAACACAATTTATATAATTTACACTAATTTAAATGACAATAATATTCCATACTTTGACAAATGAGTACATATAGTATAAAAGTAAGTACACACTACTGTACCTCCCTCTGGTGTTTCAAATTGCTGTTCGGAGCTGGTGGGTCCGTCTCCTTTCCCATTGAAGGCTCTAATGTTGAGGGCGTACTGGCTGTATGGATTAAGGCCGGGCAGACGAACCTCTGTCTCGTTCCCGTTGAAGATGAGCACCTGTGGCCTTTCATGCTCAAAGTCTTGCTTATGTAAGCTTCTCATCTTCCAATAACTCACCTACAAAATGTACGACACATTAGACTGTTTGCAGCTCAAATGTCAACATATTTAGGTAGATGACCATAACTGGTATAGAATATTTAACGTAAATGTATTTTAAGTGTTCAGTAAGTACCTTATACCCCTTCAGTCGACCTTGGACTGTTGAAAGAGGAACAGCGTCCCAGCGAACTTCAGCAACTGTCCCATTCTGAACTGAAACTTGTACATTCTCTGGGGCCACAGTTGGTGCTGAGATGACAAAAGACATGTTGTACATACAAATATTGAATGCGGTTTTTTAAATTAAAATTTGGAATGGAACTACTTCTCAGTAATCAACATTTTCCAGACTCTGTCCGCCATCTCTGATGTAAACTTTCAGTGATTTTGTCGCAGTGCATTCTGGGACTGTATACATGTCATACTGTCATTGATTTTGGCCCACATTAGAATAACATTGCACAATAATATAATATAATATAATATAATATATCAAATAAATGCCAAGTTTGGGCATGAAACTCTAGATGGCGCAGGCTGATAGGTCCTTAACTCATTTGGTAGCGATCGCATCGTCATCTACATAGCGCAGCTGATTGGTTGCTGTTGCAAATACCAGTAGTGTTGCCATTAAGAGTCTGCAGCTCGCTTTCAGAAACCCTCCACCTTCCCCAGCTCCACCTATAGATCTGCTACGGGGGTTATTTCATGTATGTTACATGTGCAGCAGCAGCATGTCTTACATGCTCACAGCAATGTCTGTGAATGTATTGGCAGTATTAAGTCTCGGTACTTGCTCTGCAGCAGTGTAGCAGATCTATTCTGCCAAGACCAAATACAGTAATATTGGCATATCCATCACCATTACCATGCCAATCTCTCCGAGAGTTGTCATGACAGAACGTTATATATTTACATTTTGTAAATAGAAATGTTATACAAAATATTGTGTCATTACATTTATATAATAATATATTACATAATAATTAAAACAATATGAATGGAAATAAATTTGAGTGCTTTCTGCAGCTCACTCACAGTCCTCTCCTGAGTATCCAAGCACCACCTCTGGGCTGGGGCCAGACCCGTAGTCATTGACCGCCTGTACGGTGACTTCATAGAGTGCAAAAGTGGGCGTTCCTGTCACTATGTATTGCGAGACATTGGCCAGATCGAATGAAGTCCAGCGATCCGCATCTTTCATACTCCAGCTAACCTTGTATTTTAGGCCTGGACCGTTCGACTCCAGCCCGGTCAGCTCCTGCTCACCAGACATTAAAAAGAAAAACAGGTTTACCAAACGCTTTGACATTTCATCATCTATTCAACTACATCTTTAATATTGTCCAAATAGTTTTAGGAGTCATTATAAACTAGAAACTATATTAAAAAAAGATAAATTAGTAGGTACTGTATTAATTCAAATCACATCAAAAGAGTTTTACCGTCCAAGTTATTGTCATACTGTCAGGTGACGTTCCAATGACTTCAACGTCTGATGGATTCATGTCAGGCTCTGTGAGGATCATAATCAGACTTTGAGCCATACAAATATAAGGAAGTTTAAATATTTTAAAGCAATCTACTTCCTAATAAGGTCACTCACGTGCAGGGTTGGTCCGGTACTGACTGGACGGCGCGCTGGGTTCACTCAGATTCACGCCATTGAGTGCCAGAACCCTGAAAGAGTAATAAACATATGGGGACAGATCCAGTTGGGCTGTGGTGATGGTTCCAGGGACGCTGGTCATATTGTGCCATACTCCAGGCTTGTGGAGCGAATCTTCATATTGGATCAGGAACACTAACCAGGGAAAAATGGATCAGAAGCTGTGTATGTAATATATGCATCTCTATTTGATTTGACACAAGGAATCAAACAAAGTTCAGTTTTTAACTCACATTTAATAGGGCTATTGTGTTCATCGCCAGGGGTCCATGTAAGCCGAACACTGCGCTCTCGCTGGTCCGTCAGCTCCAGGTCTGTGGGCGGGTCCGGTTTCTCTGAAAAAACAGATATTATGAGACACAAAACTCGATCCAGCTGAAGTGCACCAGACATTAGAAACATGCAACACAAGCCAAAATAAAATAACAAAAAATGACCACAAAACTTTAAAAAATGCCACAGTCTGAAATCTCACATTCTGTTAAAGGCATGGCACAGGCACAGCCAAACAGATCTCACGAGAACACAAAACTATTTTACATTTTGGCAAATTCATAAGAATTTGTAAGATTTGAGTCATAAGAAATATATCTAATCATGATGGTCCACCCCTAAACCAAACCCTCAGTGGGACACAGTGGGAATGTATACAAATTCAGCACTAATTTGTGAAAATGTAAAATAGTCATGAATTGCCATGAGAGTTTGTAGGTAAAGCTGAAACCATGAAAGTTTTTTATTTTAAGTTTAGTGAGCTGCCTCATTTGTAAACAAGAAATCAAAAATCAAATTTGTCTTTAACAGTTTATTTATTAATGGGCAAAATCCACACAACACATTCATAAGCACATATTAGGGAGATGAAGAGGGATAAACAAACAAACCAAAAAAATAATAATAATACAAATGCGTAAAATGGGTTTGGGACCTGTTTGGAAACTTAAAAGAAGTTAGCTTTACCCAGTACTATAGATGGTGTTGGTGTGGCCTCTGACAAGGAAAGCAGTTTTGAGGAAGTCAAAAGTTAATTATAATTATACAAAAAAATACAATTTCAACTCTTCAACAGCACCCATATAATCTGTATTAACAAAAGGAAGCCAATTGTATATTGTACAGTTTTTAAAAGTGATGTATAAACTGAGCGTACCGACAACTGTGAGTGTGGCTCTGGCTGAATCTTGGTCCAAGGTGGTGTTTCTGATGCAGGTGTAGGTGCCCTCATCCTCCTCTGTCACGTCACGTATAGTCAGACTATCAGAGCCCACCTCAAATCTACACACATACACACCTTTTAGTCAAAAACTAGCAGATGCATGCCACCTTTCAAGGCATTTAAACACAACTTTCAGAACGTATAAGGTGTTCACTTTTCTCAAACTAAATTATGCTTTACATTATAGGTACATTACATTATATTATCATGTCAATATGGGCCAGAATCTCAGAGGAATGTTTCCAGCATCTTGATAAATCTATGCCATGAAGAATTAAGGTAGTTCTGAAGGCAAAATGGAGTCCAACCAAGGTGTGCTAGCAAGGAGTACCAAATAAACTGGCCAGAAAGTGTAAACTGTTAATGCTATAGAAACTGAAGTGGCAAAAAAGATATAAGATATAATAATAAAATATTTATAAAAATAAATCTCCCTTGCTCTTATCATGTGCAGTGCTTAAGATGCTGACCTCGGCTTTATTTGGTGCTTATATTAAACATCATTTGCAGCACTGATTGCAGGTCATACCGAGAATCGTCAGGAAGCTCTTTGTTGTCTTTAAGCCATATCATGGAGGGAAAGAGAGTGGGGTCATGTTTGACCTTACACTCAAACACAGCCATGCTGTTTCTTTGGACAACTTTATACCCAGGCTGTTTGAGGATCTGTGTAGGCTCTGTGGAAAGAGAGAAACAACATTTCACATCTTACTACTTCCTTTAGTCTAGTCTAGTATTCCTTCCTTCATTCAACATATTACAAATACGCTGATTTAAGCTGGACAAATTAAATTTAGCTTCCACTCACCTTTCACTTCCAGGTAAATGTGATTCTCTTTGTTTCCAAGATTGTTTGAGGCCATGCAGGTGTATTTGCCGCCGTTTAGTGACTGAGCCACACTGATCTCTAAGGTACCGTTTTTATGAATGATGTACGAGTCGCCATCCAGTATGCTCTGACTGTCTTTAAACCTGGGGATCACAGACACATAATCAGCATGCAGCATTAACTCACAGTAAACACTTTTCTGGACATTAAAGACAAGCCTAAAAAGAATGAAAATGAATGCTAAATAAAAAATAAAAAAAAACTCACCATGTGATCTTTGGGAGGGGCGAGCCAAACGAAGCACAGTCTAATAGAGCCCTTCTGTTAGTGATGACTGAGTACACATGATTTGGAGGAGTCAGCACCCTTGGAGGTTCAGCTGAAACATAATAGAATATATTCAACAAAACATTGAAAAATATAGAATAGAATAGAATAGGATAGAATAGAATAGACTTAAACTAACCCAGGACACTGACAAAGGCATTGGCCAGTAGGTAACCGTACTCATTGGAGGCGTTGCACTGGTAAACAGCACTTGAGCCTGTCTGAACATCACTGAGGATGATTTCGTCATCTTTGATTTTCCGACTGGGGTCCTTATGTGAGTCTATCAAGAAATAACATCATAATTTATAATCATAGTAAAACTATAATCAAGCCATTCTTTTCAAAAAAGCTATGCTACAAGCTACTAACAAAAAGTAGCTGACTACATCTGAAGGGAGAAATACCTTTTTGTCTGTATATTAGATGATTTAATTTATTATTTAATCAGAGCAATATTTTCCATTGGTACAAAAACAATAGAAGGAATTAGGGTGAAAGCATCAAACTTTAACAGATATAATACAAATGAAAATTTTTATTAAAAACGTATGTAAGCGATGGGGGTGAAAAGCAGCATTAAACAAAATATTATGCAAAAAAAAAGAATGCGCAACCGATGAACTTGACCATGTAATGCGCAGGTTCAGTTTTATTGAATGAGTTTATTTACATGTACAGTACTGTACGAACAAACAGATTAACCAGAATAAATCAGAACTTTTTAAATTTTGTTACACGTAGATACTGAAAAAGCTATACATTTTTGACAAAAGCTCACAGAAAGTGGTTATGTGAGTGGGTGACATACTTTCAATGGGAATTCCGTTGACAGACCATGTGACCTTGGGTTGAGGGTTGCCACCCACCCGGCAGGTGAGCATTCCGTTTTCTTTCGGGGCCAGGATGAGGTTCTGAGGGGCACTGATCCAAAAAGGAGCCGCTGTGCCGATGGAAGGAGAGAGTTCAAAATCAAATTGACAAAATTTTTACATTTTAATTTAGAATGTTATTTTCCTGTGCCACAGATTAGAATTAGTCAATCATATGTTACAAAACAAATAGTAACAAATATTTTTGGATATTTGGCAAACCAGGGGTTATTTTCTGAACAACAGGAAACACAAAGGGTCTTTTAAATAAGCTCAAGTCCATGAATGGTTCAGGATGGTGTCCAGGGGTCAGTGAATGATGTGACTAAACAGGATTTTTGAGATGTGACAGATGAAAAGACGTCCTGTGACAGACCTCTGACCACTACAGTGATGGTGTGATGGTTGCTTCCCAGGCGATTCTTGGCTAAACAGCGATAATCTCCCCCATCCGCTTCTGTCACCTCAGTTATCTTCAGAGTTTTCTGGAAACTGTGAAATGAAAAACGACTGCTTGGCAGGTCCCCGACCACCTTAGTCCAGGAGATGTCTGGCGTTGGACTGAAAAACACAAAAAAACTCAAAAACGTTAGGTCACATTTAAGCAAAACCTTTAATACAATCTGACCTCAATCAGAAGAACAAATGGACATGGAAGCAAAACATTAGCTACACTTCGACCCAAGATATACGCATTTATCCACTTCCTGTTACTTACAGGCCATCAGCGAGGCATTCCAGCTCCAGCGTGTCTCCTTTCAGGACCATGGCGGTACTGTGCGCTCCTGGTGGGTGCATGAAAGTGGGCGCTCTCTCCCCAGACGGAGTGTCTAGAATAGGGATTGGTCACAATCAGAAAGACAAGTCTTGTAACCAGCCAGTTATTACCCAGGACTTATGTGAGGGGAAAAGATTCTATTTTGGTATGTAAAACCACACATGAACAAGCCAGCTAAAACTGGAGGTGTACAAATTGCATTTTGCTGATCAAATTTGATGCTATATAATGAAAAAGTTTGAAAATACACTTATTTTGATACTCCGATAAGTTCCCTGAAAGCCTTGTGACTTAATCGCCCTGATGTCTTTGATCAAGTGAACCTCATATTGGAATGACAAGAATTTTATCCTTCCATTGCTTCTTTTGGATGGACATGCATGGCCTTTAAAAGAGAATGGAAGGATCCAAATGAAAATATAATAGGAATGAACAATGTTTTCGTGAGATATTTTTACAGAACTTTATATAGTGTTGTATAGAATGTACTATGCAACACTGATACATTTATTCAGTTCGATTCAAAGAAAGGAGAAAGTTTAGTGAACAACTGACCAGTAGAAGATACTGCAGACACTGCCTAAATGTTAATTAGACAATTAAAAACAAAGAAAAAGGACTGATTACCATTCATATACAGTCATCTTGGAAATGTTTGTTGCAATAAACAATGCAAAATGAACTGTTTCAAATTTCCAGTCATTCCCATGATAGTCAACTCCTGTAGTGTTGGCTTCAGTCCTTTTGTCAGTTAAATCGGACTAAATCAGTTTTCATTAAAAAAGATGAAATGAAATGAATATTAATGCCGGTACAGAGTGAGACCTTCATAGAGATTAGGTTGTTTGAGGTCAGGGTTGAGATTCTACAGAAGTGGGTTATATTTCTGGTTATAAGTGATCTATTAGGTAATGAGCTATTCCTGGTTAGGAACAAACACAAGTGATGGGAGGGATGAAGGCTGGGTTCACTTGGAGAAGTTCTGCTAGCACTCACCACCCCAAAAATCTGAGCCATTCAAAAAAGCTGCCAACACAGTGTCATTCATAGCTTCAACTGGAATACAACAGAAAATAATGAGCATGCAATGTTTTGACATTTATGGGTCTGGAAAAAGTATGAAAAAACTGAGGAGGCATTTAAAAATAAAATAAAATAAAATAAAATATCAAGGAATTATCTTCACTTCAGTGTTTTTCTTAGGGCAGTAGGTGCGAATTGAATTGGCACATTATATAATTAATGACATTTTTTCATAGATTTACAGCCCTAATAATAACAACATTATTGTGATTCTGTATATACAGTATGTAAAATCTGATACGGTGCATAAAAAGGCATAAAAAGGCAGTGTTGCTTCTATTACAAAACCTGATTTACATTGTTTGGAAGAGAAATCGGTGACAAAAAACACTTACTGTCCAGCACGTTGACTGTGATAGGCTGTTTCTGTTGGATAGTCTGAGTGTGTGGGAAGCGGGCATAGCAGATGTAGTCATTTCTGGAGTCTTCCATGAGCACATTGGAGAAATATAGGTCTCCGTTTAAAGCCTGGGACACACGACTGTTTTGGGGAAGTCTTTGGAAATCTGACAAAACGGAGTAGACAAATGTTGTTTGTATTTGATTTTTGGCCTTTTGCCACCCTTATCAAGTAGTATGAGAGCAGATAGAAGCATTTAAAGTAACTTTAAACACCATTTGCGAATAAAAGAATGACCATGAAATAACAACGAGCTAAAACTCCGAAACAGACCAGCGAATTTACATACTTGGGTTGCCATGTAAAGTATATGAAAACATAACCAAATGACATTTCAGTGGCTGCTTACACTAGGATGTGCTAGACAGCCGTGTGTGGTGTGCTATTGTCATAAAAGCATGTGAAAATAAGTGATATTGTCTTACTGTTATCCATCCAGAAGATGATTGGAGGAGGCAGGCCAGCTGGGGGTCTGCACTGCAGTACTAAAGACATTCCCCTCTGTACAATGATTGGTTCATTTTTCTCTTTTGACCACAAGGGGGACCCTAAGAAACAGAATTGGAGGCTCAATTAAAAAAAAGCTGACAGGAGACACTGAAAAATATTTTTTTAAAAAGCATTCCTGTTTCAATTTGATCTGTGCCTGTCTTACTTGACTGACGGATGACGATGTCATTGGACACGGCAGAGCCATGCTCGTTGCGGGCGATGCACTGATACACGCCCTCGTACGCCTCGGCCTTCTCTCCGCTGATGTCAATGACCAGAGTGCCTGAGCTGGGCTTCATAATAACTTTCGAATCCTTTTCCACATCGAAATGAGTGCCGTTACGTGTCCATGAAAAGCTAGAGTGAAAACAGAAAATCCATTAGGAGAACATGCACACAGTGACTTTACAATCAATATTTTTATTTATAACAACATTAATCGTTCCTCACTTTTCAATCAAGTTGTTTGCGTAAAGGAAAAGTTCACCCAAAAATGAAGAATTTTTTTCTAAAAGTTTCCACCCTCACAGATCTTCAGATCTTTATTATTATTATTTTCTATTTTACCGGAAACATAATAGGAGATATTTAGCTGAATGTCCAAGCTGCCTTTTTCCATAAAAAAAAAAACTTCATAGTGATTTACATTGTCAAGCTCAAGGAAAAAATTATAAATAAAGCATTATAAAAGAGGTCTATATGACCTTTGTGCAATATTTCAAGTTTCCTAAAGCCATAAGATAGCTTTGTGTGAGAAAGAGTCCAAAATTTAAGCTGTTATTCACTGATAATTGCAAATAACCAGTTATATTTCTGTCTATTTTTCACATTAAGCTACTGTATGACTTCAAAAGACTTGCACTTTAGCACACAAAAGTCACTGAAAGATAATTGTATGATGCTTTTGTATCCTTTAAGGTGTTTGGCAGTGTAAATCATCATCCACTTTTGGTTGTATGGAAAAGAGCAGCTTGGACTTTCAGTCTAATACTTCCTTAAAATAAATAAAATGACAAATAACTAAATGATGACAAAATGTCCTCCATTTAAAGACCTGCATAATGTTTAAAGAAGAGTTTAGTAGGTGTTAAGTATCAGGCATCAGTCCACAGCAGTGGAATCTGCAGTAGCGGTAACCATGGTGATTCAAAGTGACACCCACCTGGGATGAGGCTTTCCTTTCGCTTCGCAGTGGATAATGATGTTCTCCCGAGGGTCGATGATGTAATCCTTGGGGGACTGATGAGTTATTGTGGGAGGCTGAGGCACTGAAGCACAGAAACCAGTGTGAAGACAAGCATCTCTATTTCCCACACACACAACACACACACACACCTTGACAAACCAGCACAGACGCACCACCTTTGCAGAAACTGATTCTGCAAGAAAATATCTAAAAATATAAATGTGCCCAGCTTTAGTTTATCAATGTAACAGAACCCAGAGAGACAAACAACCAAAGAGCATGCAGCATGCAACACAAACTCTCATGAAAGTTCTTGTTGGCATGGCAGATCATAGCTATAATTTACATATAGCTTTATAGTTGTTTAATAAAAAAATACAAGTTAGTATGCATATTAAAATCATAAACACTTCAAGCGGAAGAAAGCAAAAGACATTTACAGTAGATCTAATTCACAACAAATTTCACAGCAAAAGTGCCCAGACTTACATCCCTCCAGAACTTTAGCTTTTTTGTCCAAAAGAATCAGGAAATACATAAGCAGAGAGTAAAAGAGTTCAAATTAGTGTAAGAGAAGAAGAGAGAAGAGAAGATCAAACAAAATTATGTTCCCTCAGAGAAACTTCCGGAGGTGTGTTGGGCACTCATTACCCATCATGCAACTTTCATGCCATTTCATTCTCCTAATGCAGTTCGGATGGATGCTGATTGTTTGTCGATGATTCATTGGCTTTACCACCCTGACAAGAGTGGTTCATGCATTAAAGACTGTAACGTTCTGTACTGAACAATGTGATGGAGTTGAAATCTGTAACGATAAACTACTTTATCATTAAAAAGATGCTTCACTCTTTACCTATGCAATCTTTTGTAACATTATACGTCTTTACTGTCACTTCTTGATCAATTTAATGCATCTTTGCTGAAAAAAAAAGCTCAAATCGTAGAAAAATCGTACTGACCCCAAACTTTTGAACGGTAGTGTATCTTATGCATTCATGTAGTTGATATCACAGCAACAGAGTGATAGAAATAGAAAGATGTAGGTAGAAAGAGTGACCAATGCTCTCTAAAAGTCCTTGTATATTCTGCTTACACAGTAGTGATGCTGACTTAACACACTGTCAGTATGAAAACGTGAAACGCATCTCTAGAGAGCAGCAGCTGAGAAAAGAGAAACACTGCGAGGACTCACAGTGACACACTCTGCTGCATTTCCATGGTTATAATGAGGGGTATTTTACTATTTTAGTGTGCTTGAATGAATCTGGATTGAAAATCTTTAAAGGGGTCATGACATGGATTTATTTATTATTATTTTAATATGTTCCTTGAGGTTCACTTATAACTTGAAAGTTTTTGGCACACAAAAACAAATGTATATGCAAAAAAAAAAAAGATTTCATTCTGACCCTCTGTCTGAAATGATCAGTTTTTAATGGTCAGCTCCTTAAGGGCTTGTCAGTAAACAGCCACTGTTATGATTGGCTAACGTCATTGCATAGAAAACAGTATCAACGCCCACTCGCTATTGCACGTGTGTAAGTGTTTTGAAAATATTATGCATATAAAACATTCATTTACAGACAAAGCTTTATGAAATCGCATTTCGTTATGCAGCGGCTGTCAGATCCAACAAAGCTAACCGCTTCATCTGTCAAAAAAAAGTTTATTTGCAAACTCTCCAACATTACACTGTACCTCGTTTATAAAACAAAATGCTCCTAACAAACATACGATCTGGGACGCCATTAAAATAAACCATCCACTTGTTTCTGATGTTGCGATCCTTCTGAAGTCTGTACAGAGAATCAGAAGAGCTATTTAAACTGGACATATTCAAACTCTTCCATTTGTCCTGTTGTCGAAAGTTTCAAGTGCATGTCAGAAACTGAATGCACATATGTATACTGTATCCAGTGTTGACAGCGTCAGTGATTATAATGGGTTTGATTTGTTTTTGACGTGACGCGATGCGATGCTCACATACAGTGTAGGCAAATGTCAGCTGTTAAACAACTGAATGCAAGTCTGGTCTATGATGTATAACTTTTCATCAATGTCTTGCTCTGGAGGCAGTCATATGCAAATGCATTTGACCATGTAACATCACACAATATTCAAACAAGCTGTTTTTGGAGCTGTACTTTGTTTATAATGAGTAGGACGTTTTAAGCTATGAAATTTACAGGATCTTTTAATGGTGAATTTGATTTCTCATGTCATGACTCCATTAATCTTATTTCTAATCTTGTCTAAAAATTTCTAAAAAGATCCATGACAGAAGATCTTCATGTCAATGGCACATCTTGACTTAGTGAACTAATTTTAAAATAGGTTAGGCAGCTTTTTTTGTGCACTGCTGTCAAATTAAATCTATATTAGTGGGAATTATTAAATTTTATTACATCACATCAGATTCAATTTTGGTCACTGCGCAATACTCACGATCTAGAGGCACTTCTAATCCAGTGGTCATGTGACCCAGCAGCAGCAGCAGCAGCATAACAGCTCCTTCGCAGAGCATGCAACTCCTCTTCCTATCCATGGCAGGGTGCATTACATGAAAATCCTTCCCCTCCAGGTCAAAGCAACTGGGCCTTGTGATTCGCACTCAATGTGACCATTCAAACATACAGTATAGGGGCATCCAAGACTAGCCAGCGACTCTGAAAGAGAAAATAGATATAAAAACAATGACCTTTTTATGCTACTAAAAGCACAAACAGATGGCAAGATCTTTATTAGGGAATCCGTGCTGGAGACAGACAGCTCGCGTGGACTCCGATCGTCCTGACATACACAGAGACATGTGAGGGCACTCAGCTGGAAGAGACTGGGACGCTGTGATGGCAGCACACCCTCAGCACTGGCATATGGATGTCAATACACATGGCTGAAGCACAAAATTACACAGCCTGCTGTCTGGTTCCTCAGAGGTGGGTAAAGAGACCCCCCAAAAAAGGACAAATACCTTTCCTGCTCCAGAAATCCTTTTGTTTTATCGTTCTGCTTTCTGCATGCACTGAATAGAAATTTATGAAGCACATTCTTTCAGATGGTTAAAAGTAGAATGGGGTTTAAAAGTATAATGCTCTTTAGAAAACAAAACAAAACCAAAAATAAAAAAAATTAAATGTGTGGATAGGAAAATAAAAATTTACATTTACAATCTAAACAAAACAAAATTGATCGAGACACTTACTAGCTATAACATCAATGATGTGTTTCCCAACCCTTTAACGTGGCATAAACATGCGTACACACATGTAAAACACATCATGATTATGGTGGATGAGTGACTGCTATGTTTTTGCGATATAAACCCAAGTAAAAAGTTTTCAGTGAGGATGGAGGAGTATAATGAGTCAGAGAAGTGAACTAGCATTGGTCGATCCTGCCGGTAGTAGTAGAGTGCTATCTGAGTGATTCTGCTGTGTAGCAGGCTGTGTCAGGGAAATGGGCTCTGCTTTGCATAATTCATGAGCTCAGAAACCTTGACGGAGTCATACAGCGAGAGAGAGAGAGAGAGAGAGAGAGAGAGAGAGAGAGAGAGAGAGAGAGAGAGAGAGAAAGAGCGCATGATTCTGTAGAGCAAAAAAATTATCTCAAGGTGAAGGTTTCAGACATTCAAGACAGAGACAGGTTCTTCTGGATATCACATGCACCGTGAGCATCAGTTATGCCACAATCTGGAATCTATCTATATCACATTTCTCTGTGATTCAGGACTGGTTACCTAGATACACTTGTGGTGATAAATCTACAATAGAGGCCAGTTGCTTGGACACGGATTAAAATATGGTTTAAAAATGTAATGCTCTTCAGGTTAAGACAAGTCTTTAGGAGACCCTGATTTAACAGTCTCATTTAGGCTAGTGACATTAGAAAAAAATATATGCATAGGAAAATAAAAAATATTAACTTAATTCATTTATAGTAATTCATGATCTAAAAGGCCTACAAAAACACTTTAAGATGCCATATGAGAAATCGAATTTTATTTACAAATCTATTGTTATTTATTGTTATCAAGTGTGGTGGGTCATGACCCAAAACAAAGCAAAACAAAACAAAAAAGTGTGGATAGGAAAGTATTTAAAAATGCAACCAGTGCTCACTGAATACAGTCAAAAACATAAATGACAGAAGTGAAGAAACTCAAAGGCCTTTAGCACTTTGTTTGGCTGAAAAAAAGGCAAGACTCCCTAGATTTAGCACATTTTCAGTATTTCAGACAATGTGCACAGCATGTCTGATGGCTGCTATGGTGACAGTATGTGCTCAAGCGCCCTTTGGAAAAACCTGAACCGGTCAATTGCAGTGGAGAGAGTGACAATGTCTTAAATGGAAACTGTCAATCACATTTCCTGTTGCCATGCAATCAGCTTGACCTTTAGCTATTCTCAAACATAAGAATCGGTGAAAAAAAAAAAAAAGTAAGCAATGTCATCTGTGCCTTTTAAAATGAGAGTATTATACCGTTTATACCAGGTATTAAGATGTGTCCGTTGATCGGACCACACCGAACGCAGTCAGTGCATGTTAGAAATCAGGAATAGTGAGAAAACATTGCTTGGTATGTTTTTTCGTCTTCAAAACAAACTTGAGTCTTCAGCCGACAAAGTTTAAATCCCGTCTGGCTAGTGCGCTACCCATAATGTTTTTTGTGGTTGCTAGAATGCATTCGACCACATGAGCGTTTATACCAGGGGTCACCAAACTTTTTTCTCTGGGGGCCACATTATGGTTCCTGACTGTGATGGGGGGGCCGGGGCCGGGTCAGCTATATAACATAGAATTGTATAACCCAGACCAAACTGACCACCAGCAGGCCTCATTGTGTAGTAGAGATTACTAGCCTGGCACAGCCATATTTGTTTATCTAGTTGTTTGCAAAAGTAGTAATCGAGTCTTTCCATGGGTACCTAGTAGGTGAGCTACCTTATAGCTAGCTCGGACAGCAGCCTGGTTGACCTGAGTTTGGCGAAGGAATACATTCTGTTGTGCAGCCAGTCCGACTTTCATCCTCCGAATCCTGTCTTCTCTTGCTTGCCCTCGCAAGCTAGCATACTCCTTGTGGCGGGTTTCGTGGTGACGACGCAAATTGTATTCTTTGAAAACTGCCACACTTTCTTTACATATAATACAAACTGCACTTCTTTACACTGAACAAAAAATAATCGTTGGTCCACTGTTCTTTGAAAACTCTGCACTCTCTATCAACTTTTCGTTTAACACTAGCCACACTGACAGTACTCTGTGCGTGCGTTGTTGTCTCTGCGCGATCTCGAGCATGTCGGGTGACGAAAATTCGTCAAATATAGTTAATTTTATAACTAAATATAAATTTTTAACTGAAAAAAATCAACAAAATACCAGATGCAGACATGTTATTATTTTCCAAAAAGCAATAAAAAAAAAAAATAGGCCATGACGTCTTTTGGGTATTGCCGGTTCAAGTATTGGGGGGCAGAGGGGTTGGGGGGCCAGTCAAAGGGGGGTGGCGGGCCTGATTCGGCCCGCGGGCCTTAGTTTGGTGACCCATGGTTTATACTATGAAAGCAGTTTGATCATTTTCGACTACTTCTGGAAGCGGTCGAAAGTGGACAAGCTCAACTCAGACCAATATGATTAGTGAGACTTCATGAAAAGTGAAAGGGTGAAGTTATTCAACATCGCAGACCCCGTTTACACCTGTATTTAGCGTCGTCCACTTGTGATCTGATCGACCAAAATGTATCTTAATACCAACTGTAAACAGGGCCATAGAGACAAAGTCTAGATTCATGTCTGTGTTGTCATATGGTAGAGATGTGCAGTCGTGTATATAGTCTGTCTGAATTACAAATTTGCATAGCACAAACAACATTGTTTCTAATCATTAAATGTTCAACACTTTTTCTCTGGCAATAATTCATGATTTATGTATGAATGAATTAACCAACAGATGTTGTTCCCGAATTCAGGCTATTAACACTCTGGTAAAATTAACTGAATCAAGACAAACTAATGAAAAATTCACTTACATCTCTTCATTTTTACATATATTTTCATAATAGCTCTCAGATTATTTTTAAGGTGGTGTGTGTGTGGGGGGGGGGGGGGGGGGGGGGGGGGATTCATGAGATAGACTGCAGCATATTAATAGTTTTTAATTATTTTAAATGGTGGCTTGTAGCCCTGGCCCTTTGGCATAATAGACTTTAAAATAGCTCAGAGGGATGCTTTGGGTAACATTGGGTCTCACAGAACAGAAAAAAAAACTGATTTAGATACTGTGCTGACTCATGCATTCATTCAGAATCAATAGAGATGGAGGAGAGATACAGCACAGGTAATCTGATCTAATCACTCTCTGATTGGCTGGATGAAGGACTAAAGGCACAGGCATCTGTCCTTCTGTCCTAAATGATGGATCTAAATCTAGGGCAGCAGGGCTTCTGAGGCCCCTTTTCTGGATCAACTTGGCTAATGGCTTCTTTATTGGACGAAGACCACCCTGGATGGGCAAAAAAGATAAACAAACTAAAGGGAATATGTGTCATATATGCTCTAAAAAGCCAGAGTCAATCTTTTTATCAACAATTTTCTATAAATGTCTAAATAAATATCTAAATATTTTATATTGCCATTCACATAACTTGAGTTATTATTATCTATGAGTCATTACGCAAATTCACTTTAAGCAAGAGAAATTTTGCCACAGGCTTTTCCAAAACCAGTCTATTTTAGTATTCATGTCAGCATAATCCCAGCATAAATTAAGAAGAATATATGCAAATGAATGACATAATTTACATATGAATGGCCTTCTACTGTAAAAAAGTGAACAGAGACCATACCGTACAGTCAAAAGGACTTAATTCATATGGGTTTGTTTTGACCACATCCTACTGCTGCCTTTTGTGGGTTTGGCTCACTTGTTGTTTGTGTTGACAAGTGGTTATTCTCTTTCACGAGGAGGGAGGTCAGAAGTCATTGTTGTCAAACTGTCTTTTTCGTATTTGAGTTTGTTTCTAGCTATTTAAACTACCTTTTAAACAAACCTTTGGTCCGTTACCATACCATAGTAAATAATGTTTGCTTTTTCTATTGAAATGTCTAGTTCGAAGTCAGAATACTGTAATTACATGAGTCCCTTTCATGAAACTTTCATCTATCCCGTGTACAAGGCTACAGAAGTGTGAGAACCATCGACAGAATGTCCATCTCATGTTGGGTAGGGTCTTTCAGACTGTTTGTACTGAGAAGGGCTGGCTATTACCATGAGAATGAGACACAAAATAAACTGAGACCAATATGATTAGTGAGACTTTATGAAAAGTGAAACTTATTCAACATTGCAGACATACTGCACATCTTTTAGCCCAATCCACACAAATACCATAAACTCTCTCAAATGTATATATTTTTTAACAATAATATTATTTTATGACCCCTAAAAAGCCTAAAGAAGCACTTTAGAAGACAAAATTAAAATTTGTCAAATTAATTATTTCTTTAACTTTAAAAATATAAAAACTGGATGGACTGACACTCAAAGTCAATGGTTCATCAAAGCAAAACAAAACAACGAAGCAAAGCACAAAAAATGAAAAAAAGAGTAAATACTATATAATATATAATGTTAGCTTTCTTATAATAGTCACTATTCAATTTATCAAAT